TCAGGAGGTCAGCTGACAGATCAATAGATTTAACAGTCTCTTGGAATTCCCCGGGGAAGAACTGAATTGCTCCTTTCAGCCCATCCCTTTATGGACAATAACATTGTTCAGAGCAGTGAGGAACAAAACATTTCAATCTGCATCACACACATGCTCCAACTACTCCTCATTGTTCTCTCACTTTTTCAGAGTCTCCCGGGAGAGAGAGAGATGACAGCAACACCTATTAATAACAAACACACAGTCCTTGTCTGCACCGGGAAATTGCATCAGGTCAGAAATCATATTAACCAACATGATATTCCCCTTAATGTAAACAAGGATGCTCACGGCTGGACATGGTTATCCCTAGGGCACTGTCTCTGTCTACCATAGCTGCTAAGTGCTGTTTAACATCATGTTAATTAACACAGTTTCTAACATGATGCATTTTCCCCAAGGTAAACAGAGTTGCCAGCTTGGCTACAAATCTCCCCGCTCCAGCTGCCTTGGCAGCGGTGAGAACTGCTCCCTGTCACAGCAGCCACAGAACCAGCAGAGTCCACCAGAAGCTGATTTGGGCTGAAGTGTGGAGATCTAGTTTGTAGGTGCTATTTACTTATTACAATCCTCCGAAGAATGTGTGAATGGGAGGAGAAAATAAAACATCATCTTACCAAGGAAAACTCATCCCACTCATGTTAGGTCTGAGCTCTCCACCTATTTATCTCCTATTACAAGGGAATAATTGGGCACTAACTTTTGCCTCTTGCCTTATACTTAGATTGTAGGCCTTTTGGGACAGGGACCCTCTTTTTGTTCTGTTTGTACCGTGTCCATCACTAGGGGGCCTGGTCTGTGACTAAGGCCCCTGTGTGCACTGGGAATACAAAATACATAAATAAATGAAATAAGCAAAATGCAATTGCTTTATAAAGCACCAAACCCGACCCACTGGCCACGGCACAGAACACCTCAGCTTTACAAGCATCTTTTCCCCCCTTGTGACAGAGTGCAGAGAGCCAGCAACTGAACCAGCACTCTGGTCACGGAAATCCAATTAGTTCCCCTGGAGAGGGCCCGACTGAGGGAAGGAGTGACTAATTACTAGAGCAGCCTGGGCTGGGGAGATCTGAGGAGCTATGTATCCAGTTAACTGCAAGAGAAGAAAAGGAGCAGAGGAAGGAAGTGTGGGGGCCAGGCGGGGCCAAAGGGAGGTCTCTGCCCAGAGCCCAGCCAAGCTATAGTGAACCCCTTTATTCCAGCACTGTCTCTCCCTCTGACCTCCTTGGTCATACTCCAGGTGAAAGCCCTGACTCCTGCTAGCAGCCAGCTCTTATTCCCTGCCCCCCCCCCCGACATCACACCTTCCCAGTCCTTTGTTCTCCAGGTGGAGAATGTTGCTCAGCCTCCCTGCAGAGAGGTGGGGAAATCCAAATCCCTCTGGGTCCTTGGTTGGTTGATGTCAATGGCCGGGCAACTGGATTTGCCACTGTCTTTTCAAATGTTCCTCTGATAGGGGGCCAAGGCCCAGACAGCTAGACAACAATCACACCTATATCTCTTAGCCCGCCCTGAGAGCAAACAGACGTTTTCCACTCTCACTACGTAATAATTCAGCATATAGGAGAAACAGAGGCACAACCTCATAAAAATATTACAAAATATTGCCACTTCATCCCATTATGTTATTCTGAAATTGTAAGGTGTTCTAACTCATTGTTAGAAACCAAGAATCACCTAGAACCAATGTGGTACATCACAACGTAAGGTCTGTCTACAGACCGCAATCAGACGTGTGAATGCAGCACATGTAGACATACCAGAGCTAGCTAGCTAGCAGTGAAACCATGACAGCATGGGCTAGCCTCTTGAGTTCATACCCAGGATTCTGGGTGGTGTACATATTGGGGTTCAGGAAGTGGGCGGGCTTCTGGGTGGTGTAGCAGGATGGTTACAACGTTCCTGCCCTGAAGGGCTTAAAACAGCCCTGGGGGAAGGTTGTGGCTGGGAGCTGCTAAGCTGGGCTCATTGGGAAGCAGCTGGGCCACGCCCCAATCAGGCCCCAGCTGGCCTGTATAAAAAGACTGTGAGCCAGAGGCCCAGAATAGTCTCTCTCTGCATTCAGAGAGAGAAGGGCCTGGCTGCAGGGCGCTTAACTAAGTGCCTAGAGTGGAGCAGGGCTGGGGAAAGGCCCAAGGAGCCGGGGCGCTCTGGCCTAGGAAAGCCCCAGGCTGCAGGCCTGGTAAGGCTATTAGGTACTGGGTTGCAGGGGGCAGCCCAGAGGCAGCAGGTCCGAACCCCTTTGCCTGTAATGAGTGGCTGATACACTGCAGTCTGCCCCAGTGAACGGGGCTAGATGGAGACTGGGCAGTAGCCAAGACTGAGGCAAAGTGGGGATAGTGGGTGGGGGTTCCCCTGGGAGGGGGGGACCCAGAACTGTTGGGGTACTGCCAGGGGGCAGCACCCCAGGTAAAAGGGCACCGGGGTCCAGGGTGGGACATGGGGGCCAGAGGACAGGCAGACCACTGGCCTGCAGAAGGCGCTCCAGGATGCTGGAAGAGCTAATTCCCAGAAGTCACCAGCAGGAGGCGCAGCAGGGATGAGTCCGCTCGTCTACAGTGGCCTTGTACATTCCCTGCTGCCGCAGTTTTATTGCTGTTATTCAAGCAGGCTAGCTTAGGGTTACCATATTTTGTGCCTCCCAAAGGAGGACACTCCACAGGCCCCCGGCCCCAGCCCCGCCCCCGCCCCAACTCCACCCCCTCCCCAAAGTCTCCGCCCCCTCCCCTGCTTCCCGCGAACATTTGAGTCGCGGGAAGCCTGAAGC